AGCTAATCAGAAAATTGATCTCTGCTGTGGTGCCCCCACACTCCTGTAATCCTCTGCAATCGCTCGTCACTGAGGGCAGTGTCTGCACAAACAGCGCTCACTAAAACCCATCCACAGACAGGCCCCATGTGGCACTACCATGGTAACGCGGCCCTGCACGCAGGCAGAAGGATATGGACTAATTATTAATAGATGAAGCCCGGACACGAATTAGAGCAACAGGAGAAGAGAAGAGAGAGGGTGAGGGAGGGAAACTGGAGTGTTAAAAAAAGTAGAGGGAATGAGTAATTGAGCCAGCAAGAATGTAGGCATAAGAACAGAGAGGGGGGGGTGCAATATGGAGAATTTGAGGGAGAGAGGGCAGATAAGGCGGTGTTTTGTGTCAGTACTCCTCGCGGCTCTCTCATCCTGCTGTGTGGAGGATGATGGAGAGAGGAGGTGTGAATCTTGCCAGAGGCACTGTTATACAGTGCTAACTGACTGACCGGGCCTGCGTGTCTCACAGCAACACACAGCGTGTGTGGGGGGGGGCGTGAGGTTTCAGCTCTCCTCCTGCAGTTCCAACTTGCAGAGGCACTCCTTTACGCAAAAGTGCGCAGCAGCATGGAACAAATCTACCCAGGTAACGTCGTTGAAGCCAGATCCTGGCTTCTTTCGTTTCTTGAAAGAAGCGAGGGTGTTTCCTTCTACAGAGACAGAGGCGAATTCCATCGGAAAAAAAGAAAAAAAACTAGGACAGCAAATTCCACACTTAAAAGGCTTGCACAGAGGCTGCCTTTGAGAAAAAGAACAAGTGTCTTATAAGGAATCTGGTCGTGTTAATTCAAGTGAAGTGGACTTGAGAACATGCGAAAGACTACAAACAAAGCGGGGCAGTCTGGATATCTGTTAGGCGAAACTGTGGTTAAGAGCATAAATTGCCCACTGTCCAGAGCGACGTTATCATTGTTATATATTTCAATTTCTCTTTTGTATGAGTCCTGCCCTCCTACTCCCACTATTCCCCAGTGTCTCCCAGGCATGTGTGCAGCAGACCAATCGCTCTGATCTCGTCCTATGCAGGGCACATCACAGAGGACGACAAGCTCAGATGGACCCCTATTCCTTCACCATGTAATCTTGCTCCCTCACCAGCCCAGGCCCTGTCAGCATCCACAGCAGAAAACATCCTACAGCAGTTACCGGAGTCATTCCTGGAGACATCGACGGTGTGAAGGCTCCCTAAGCAAGCATGGTTAACACTGACCGGAAACTGGACATCTGGTTTACCAACAGGGCCGGATGAGCTGAATGAACTCTTCCCATGTGTCACCGCTGTCCTCTTATGGTTATGAGCCAGATGTTGATCTGGGAAAAACCAGGATGTGAGAGCCAAAACAACGACAGACCAAGATGGCTGTATTACAGGCCAAAATCTGCACCATGCCACTACTCAGAGGAGTTACTAGGGGCAACCCAATGAGCAAGATGGCCTCCGCTCACTTGGGATCTGTCTCCGGTAATAGAGCACCTCCTTTTCCAGCCAGCACACCAAGGACAGCTAAAGTCAACTGCCGATGACCCTCCTCAAAAGTGGAAATAGTCAAGAGATTCGGCAAAGACTCCCAGTGCCACAGCCCATCGCACTGCATCCCCCAGCGTCTTGCCCGCGGACAAACCCATCCCCTCCAGCCTGCCCTGAACCTGGGAGAGACTCTCAATAGATCATTAACGCAGCAGGCTTTGATCCCAGTGCCAGCCGGGCCCCCTGTTTTAAAACCCTGGTTCGGGCTTCAATGGCTGCTGTCTTAAATGAAATGGTATCATTGTTAGACACACAAAGGACTGCATTGTGGGCTTCCCAAACGGATGCAGTTTAACATGACATCCGTTTGATCTACGTAAGGTTATACCCCCGCTCCACTGTACTTTAATGACAGGCCTCTCTTTCTCGGGCCACTGTGGCAGATTAAGAGCACAACCTTCCAGAGAGTTAAGACGCAAGATTTCACATTTTAAAGATCTGAAGGGTGTCCTCTGTGTTGTACACACAGTACAGTATGTATTTAAAACACAGATCGCACAAATAGATGAGTGGGCACGCCTGTACCTGGTTCATGGACCATAATATTTCGAATTTACCTTTAAATACAGTGAACACTATAAAACATTATGCAATCTGCAGAAATGGCTCTCTGAAAACTTTCAGTTTTAGCTTCAGAAAAAAATGGTCAATTTCAATGTTTTACATTATTATACTAGACAGGCTGTGGTCCCTGAGCCTGTATTTTGTCTGGGTCTGTTTTTCACTGTATTTTCTTATCCTGGTCAAGTACTTGTGTATTGTCTTTTCACTGCCCAGTAATTAGTCTTCTTGCGTGTCCTTTCTCTCAGCACCTTTGCAGGATATTAACTTTCTCGGCAGCTTTCATTTCCCGCTGAAGGTGCATTTTCATCTGTCGCTATCGACTCACAGCCACGCTGTCAGCACAGCCTTCTAGCTGTATTTCTCCACAGAGGTGTGCCTTCTCTTCGTCCACCTCTTTTCCACACGACCATGTCCCCGTCAGCCCCTGCTTCTCTCTCCCTGCCATATTTTAAGACTCATCCATAATCTGCAATCTGTGGCAAACTGAAAGAGACTGATGAGTAAGATAATAATAACTGCTTACACTTATATAGTGCTCTTCACTCCACTCAAAGCTCTTTACAGGTGATGGGGACTCTCCACCACCACCAGTGTGCAGCCCCCACCTGGATGATGTGACGGCAGCCATAGTGCTCCAGTACACTCCCCACACACCAGCTCTCAGTGGGGAGGAGAGCAGAGTGGTGAAGCCAGTTCAGAGATGGGGATTATTAGGAGGCCATGACTGGCAAAGACCAATGGGAAATTTGGCAAGTTACACCCCTACTCTTTTCGAGAAGCGCCCTGGGATTTTTAATGACCACAGAGAGTCAGGACCTCAGGTTTTACGTCTCATCCGAAGGACAGCACCTGTTTACAGTATAGTGTCCCCATCACTATACTGGGGCATTAGGACCCACATGGACCACAGGGTGAGCGCCCCCTGCTGGCCCCACTAACACCCTTTCCAGGTATAAAGAGACAGAAGTAGCAAGACTTATGGCCCTAATAAATGGGTAAATACTTATTAAAATTAATTTCAGAATGTTAAGAAATAACAATAAGCTATTATTATAAACCACCAGAGTCCTCAATGTCGTTCTTCCGTTGTCTCACCTTAACTCCTCTACACCACTTCCCTGATGCCTCCTCTCCCTCTCCTCGCTCCGCCTCTTTCTCCTCCCTGTTCGGTTCATCTCCTCTCCCCCTCCTCCTCCTCCTCCTCGTCTGTCACCCTCCCCTCTCTCACCCCCATGGAGGTGTCTGCCTGCGCGACAGCTGAGTCAGCGACCACTGCTGGCTACAGAGGAAAACGATGCCTCGTGCGTGAGCCCATGGCCGAGGGCTGGGACTCAACAAACCCACACAGCTGGCGCGCTCTCTGCTGGGTCTCACAGGTGGCACCCTTGTTCTGCCACCCCAGAGCACCCTTCCCTCCTCCAGCCATCTCGGCGTCTCAAATGTCAGATAACAGCAGCGCCTGCAACTGGATCACAGCCAATAGGAAATAAAACAAAGAACTGAGAAAGTCTTTCATCGATTGCATTTGTCAAACAAACTAATAGGCTGATATTAAGCAGCAATTGCTTGTAGGCAAAGTGCCCATTGTTATATACAGAGCAGTACTGCTTGCACTGTAACCCAGTTTGACATGCTGTATCCTGACTGCTCTGGCCAGTCAAGAGCACCTCTGGGTCCAGAACCAGTTGCTGGGTTTAATGGATAGAGAGGATATCGGTTTACTTTTTTGACATACAAGATTTATCAGAAACAAGCCTGCCAGTCATCACAAAACATCAAGTATTACAAAACAAACCACGTATAAAGTCTGCTAATAACATTCTTTTCCAGTTCAAAGGGGCGGGGGACAGTGCTAGGGAGAAATGAGAGAAGGAGAAAAGGAACAGAGAATACAGAGACATAAATTCAATTTATTGGGAAGAAAAAATAACCCACCTCTCCCAAAATCTCCCAAAGACCTCCATTCGGAGTAGAGACTGTAACTTAAAGTCCTGGACTCTGTGTTCAGCTGCATCGCTGACAGGCCTGGTGACCCTACCTAATCGAACAAACGAGCTGCAATAGATACAGCCTAGAACAAACGAGCCGCAACAGACACAGCCTAGAACACCAACAGATGCAGCCTAGAACACACAAGGCGCAGCAGATGCAGCCTAGAACGCCAAGACACGCCGCCTAGAAACAAATGAGCAGCTATAGAGACACTCTAGAACAAATGATCCGCGACAGATGCAGCCTAGAACATCAATAGATGCAGCTTTAAACAAATGAGCTGCAGTAGATGCAGCCTAGAACAAACAAGCAGCTATAGATACACCCCAGAACCAATGAGCCACAATAGATATTACCCATGTCTTAGTTCTGAGGTTCATAAAAGGGACTATAGAAAACAAATGGGGTGGCTGCCAAGGCAGAGTGCGATTGGATTAAATCCGCCCCCCTCCACATCCAAATATCAGCACACACTGGGTCATTCTTAACAGACCCGCCAAAAACGTCCTTGGCACTGTTCCACCCCACCGCAGAAACCAGACCTCTGGGCACATCACTCAAGCTGTCGGGGACGAGACTGGGCTGCGTCCCGCTGCTGGGCTGTGTCCTCCCCTCGGACTGTGTGTTAACAGAGGGGGATTGTCTCTCCTCGGGACAGGCGGGGGAAAGTGAAGGCAGGCCACCCCTCCTTCAGGGGGCCAGCCGGTCACACGTCCACTTGTCCCAGCTCCCCTCCGCGGACACCCCGTGCTGGATCAAAACAGACCAGGGACAGAGGAACTTTCCCAAACGGAAAAAGGAAATCAATACACATCTTGTCGAGCGGCGCGGGAGGCCTCCTCTCCCCCGAAGAGAGGTGCCGTCCATGCGCCGAGACCACCGACGAAAACGGGCGGGCGCATCAGGCGCGGGCAGAGCGGCCCGTCTGGGAAACCGCCGGGCTCGGGGGGACGTGCCCCCCCGAGCAGACACTCTGTCCTTAGTGCTGAACGGCAGTCAGGCGGAGGCTGCAGGCCCTGTGTGCGCACAAAGGCCGCGGGATATTTCATCCGTGCGCCCAGGCCGGATTTTTAAACATCCGCCTCGTGCACCAGCCGACAAACGTAAACAGCCCGGGAGCCGCGCAAAAAAAGCCAGACTCCGCGCGCGAACCCAAACAGCTCGAGGCCGCCGCGTATTTATAGAGGGCTGACTCAGTGGTCACACTCCGGTGTAACAGCTGTTTCTAAACTCGACTCGAGCGCCGCACGCAGCGCCAGGCCCCCTCTTCCAGAATAACACGGAGCCCGCCGGACGCGGCCGCTGTTCGCGAAACGACGCCACACGCTGGGCTCGCCGACCGCCACAGCCGCCGCACACCCCTGGGACAACACCAGCAGGGCTGTGGCCAAGGGCCGGCGTCACACTGCTCACTGGAATGACATTCCTCCTTCACGGCCCACAGTCTTGATCTGACGGCGTCCGTAGCGACAGCACCCTAATGCGTTTGTTTACACTGCTAGGCTGCAACAGGCAACTGCATGTCCTGCTCGTCCACGCAGGGCTCGGGCCAGCAGCAGGGTATGAGGGGGGGAGAGAAGGTTCATTTACCCACAAAATGTTTTTTCACTAGATAACTAGGAACTAGATAAAAAGGCCAAGACAATAAGCAAGACTTTATGCCCCTCCAGGATCTACGTCGGACACACCTGCTTTCATGGCTTTTGAGTGTGGAGCCCCATACTGAGTGAAAGCCTCGCTGCTGTTATCTTAAGCACATACTAAAGGAACAACTCAAGAGTCTGAGAGGTTCTGCTGCCAGACAGATAACTGCTGTCAGCCCCTTATCCAAGCTCTGCAAAGGCGCTGAGCGTACTTGTTCTGTGCACGGCTGAAGCACTCCAGGCATCAATCCCTCTCGGACTCAGACGGCACGTCTCCCGCGTCCCTGCTTTTTAAAAAAAACTCACGTTTACAGACGTTCTAGGTATGGTTCTCACACTGAGAAATGGCTCAGGCCAAATGTTCGGCATCACCCTAAATTTATCTGCAATGCCCTGACCTCCACAGGCGGTGTGGTTTCCCTCAATCCGGTTCGGAAAACCAGCCACATGGGAATCTGTTCAGCACCGATTGGCGAGGGACACTGAAATCAGGCAATAGTCAGGTCAGGCTAAAGTGGGCTAGATGGTGCCCTGGTGAAAGGTGTGAGACAAGTCAGTTCCATTCACCTTTAATAATAATTCCTTACACACTGGAATGTCCACTCACTGTGCTTTACAGGTAATAGGGACTCCCCTCCACCACCACCAATGTGTAGCCCTACCTGGATGATGTGACGACACCAGTTCTCAGTGGGGAGGAGAGCAGAGTGCACCAGTACGCTCCTCACACACCAGTTCTCAGTGGGGAGGAGAACAGAGTGCACCAGTACGCTCCTCACACACCAGTTCTCAGTGGGGAGGAGAACAGAGTGATGAAGCCAGTTCAGAGAGGGGGATTATCAAGAGGCCATGATTGGTAAGGGCCAGGGGGACGTATGGCCAGGACACCGGGGTTACACCCCTACTCTTTTGAAGAAACGCCCTTGGATTTTTAACAACCACAGAGAGACAGGACCTCGGTTTTATGTCTCATCCGAAGGACGGTGCCTATTTACAGTATAGTGTTCCAGTCACTATACTGGGGCATTAGAACCCACACAGACTGCAGGGGGAGCGCCCCCTGCTGGCCCCCACTAACACCTCGTCCAGCAACAACCTTAGCTTTCCCAGGAGTCTCCCATCCAGGTACTTTCCAGGTTCACACCTGCTGAGCTTCAGTGGGCTGCCAGGTGTGAGCTGAAGGGTGAATTAGCTGCTAGCTTTAGGTCTGGCAACAAGTGAATTGTTTTGTGGGTTTTGAGGACTTATCTCTTAAGGCACTACAGTCACAGTGTTTATATTCACATGGACTGCAAGTATGCGCCAGAAATGCATTAGGCACTTGCGTGTGGACACACCCACACAAGTAAGAGCACACACAAAGAAAGATTAGAAACAAGAGGTGGTCATTTGGAACATCTAGCCTGCTGGGTAGTTAGTAGTTAATCAATCCCAGGATCTTATCCCTGAAAGAAATCAGCTATCGGCTTCAACACCACAGCTGAGAATTTTGTTCCATACACCCACACCCCTTGGTGTAAAGACCTGCCCCCCCCGCCCTGTTCTTGGTTTTAAACACACTTCCATGTAGTGTCCACATGTGCCCTCAAGTACACATTGAGATCATCAAGTCCCCCCAAACGGTTCAAGTTACAAGGACGTTAATTTAAAACAAATTTCATCTTTTCGCTCTTTGTCAAAAACAGTTAAGAGGAAAAGCTGACTACAGTCTTTAAAGAAATGCCAAACAAATGACTCCAGCTGTTATTCAATGAAAGCTCAGGAAGCAGAAGATAAATGAACTGAAACGTGTTAAAAGTAGATCCCAAATCAAAATGACATCTATATTAATTTTAAAGGAGCATCAATGCATGGATCAGACTGCCAAGCCACACTGTACAGGATGCTATGCTGGGGTGTTTCATAGTTCAGCTTGAAGATGCACAAAAAACATGCTGACAGCACAACTTTCCAAGCACTTTGCTTCAATCTTTGCTCTCTCTCCTGAGCCCATTTAAAATCCCAAGCTAAGTTTCAATTAAAAAAAAACCCACTTAATTTTGTTTCCCTCGTCTCGGTTGTCTACAAGTTTGCCTCCGTTTCCAGGTTTTGAAAATTCTGCAAATACAGAGTAAATTCAGATCCAGAGCAAAAAAAAAGCTTTGAAAATCCCTCCTATGATGTTGCGAGCTGTGTAAAGAGCCAAGTGGTCTGTTCTCCTCATGAAACGACTTTATGTTCTCGTAAAAAAAAAAAAAACGAGCCCCTGTCCCATCAGCGCTTTCTCCCGCGCTCAGCAGAGGGCTGAGGTGCTGCGCTGTTTTTCCACCCCGAGCTGGTGGACTGGCACAACTCCCCACCCTCCCCCGGTGGCCTGGAGCTCTGGAGACGGAACGTTCCCCTAGCCCTGCCAGGCTGCCCTGCCTGTCACACTGGGCACCCTGACACCCCCGGAGACCACATCTAGAGCCTGCTAAGGCCAGTGGAAAGCCCTCGGCACGCGGCCTGGCAGCGGAAACATGGCAGACATCAGCAGCGAGCTTCTATCTCCTGTGATCTCCCAGGAGCCCATCGCAGTCCGCAGCAATGTGCCACATCGGACTTGGAGAACCAGAAGGAAGCACTACATCTGCTCTCTTCAGGCAAGTGCAAGGCCCGTAAGAAACAGACACCAGCCCTACCCCTCCCACCCATCATGCATACTTTAATAATAATAATAATTCCTTAGACTTATATAGCGCTTTTCTGGACACTCTTTACAGGTAATGGGGACTCCCCTCCACCACCAGTGTGCAGCCCCACCTGGATGATGTGACGGCAGCCATAGTGCACCAGCACACTCCCCGCACACCAGCTCTCAGTGGGGAGGAGAGCAGAGTGATGAAGCCAGTTCAGAGATGGGATTACAAGGCCATGATTGGTAAAGACCAGGGGGGAATTATCCCAGTTATGAGTTGCAGGGTGAAAATAAGAAGTGCGTATTCACGCTAAGAGAGTCAGGTGTCTGGAACAGCTAGTTCAGCCAAGTTGTTGATGCCAACCCAACATTTTAAAGGAGCGGATGAACGAGATTCTGGAACGAGCAACATCAGGCTTCATCTGACCTCGGCGCATTCGGAGCCACGATCCAAACAGTGTGAAATGAAGAAAAAAAGGTCACTAAGGGAGAGAGGGGCTTCCCAAATTAAAAGGAACTGCAGTTGCCTGTAGGGTTTGAAATGCCCTGCAATGTGAGCACACGTGTGCACGCCGCGACGGTGATCTGGGAACTGGTGAAGGGTGTGCGGACGGAGTGGGTGAGAGCCGACCGCCGGACTGGCCAGCGAGCCAGTGGGCGAGAGGCGCGAGATGAAGTCTGCGACTTCTGCACTGAACCCGGTCACCCGGGTCTCTGACACACGCAAGGAGCCACATCCCCTCCCGGCGCCAGGCAATAAAGGAATTTAAACGAACCAGTAATAGGTTTATTCCATGCTGAAAAGAGAAGAAACGAAACGCAACGTTGCGTTTTGTTTCTTCTCTTTTCAGCATGGAATAAAACCTCTTGCTCCTTTGCAGCCTACGCGTGCTGACGCAGCTCCCCACCTGAAGGAAGTTAAATGACCCACCGGCAGGAATCGACAGTACATGCTCCGGCCGCACAGCCGCAATTAGGCACCGCTGCGGTACCGGCTGGTAGCAGAGTCGGCAGGACACCGCCGCGGTACCGGCTGGTAGCAGAGCCGGCAGGACACCGCCGCGGTACCGGCTGGTAGCAGAGCCGGCAGGACACCGCTGCGGTACCGGCTGGTAGCAGAGCCGGCAGGACACCGCCGCACAGCCCGAGAAGGACTCAGCCGCCCTGTCGCCGGTTGGGACAGCCCGTTCAAGCCGAACACCCAGACCGGCGACGGTGGAATCGCCAGAACAGGGATGTCGGCATCTCAGGCTCCCCAACGCACACACGCGTATGGCTTAAAGAGTTTTTTTTTTCTTTTGATTTCTTTCTTTCACTTCGCGGAAAAGCGCGCCTCGGCTCCCTCACCTCTCGGCCGGAGTCCCTCTCGATGGCCTTCTTCACCTTCCCGTAGGTGCCTCTCCCCAGGGTCTCCAGCAGCTCGTAGCGGTGCTTCAGGTTGTGCTTGTGGTGGTGCTTCTTCACGCTGGGCACCCTCCGGAGCTCGCCCGCCCCTGCCGAGGCGCCCTCGGCCCCCGGGTCGGCAGGTAGCGGTCTGGGGAGGCTGGCTCTCCGGGGCACGGCGGCCGCCTTCACGGCGAGCTCTGCTCCCGACCGGGAGAGCTTGCGATTTGGGGGGCAGGTAACGTCCATTGTGAGACCGGGGTAAAACAAAAAAAGCCCCGACCTGTCAAGTCTTTTCACAGTTCTGTATCAAAGAGGAAGCAAAACACCTACAGCGACGCTAAAAGAGTTTTTTTTTTATATTATTATTATTAGTATTTCTGGACTCTCTTGCTTGGCAGCCCACTTCTGTGTGTGTCGGGGGCGGGAATCGCCGAATCCGTGTCCAGTCGATCGGTTCCCCCGACTTGAACACAAAAGAGTCGATTTTCAAATTTAGGAAACGATGTCGTCCGTTTTTGACAGGCACGTTAAAAAACTAAAGTGCATTTACTTTGCAGGAGAGAAGAGGGTGAAGGAGAAAACGGGGTCAGGTGAAACGCGGAGTTGCCAATTTAGGGGGATAAAACTTTAACTAAACAACAACAACAACAACAACAACTAAAAATTACATATGTAAAAGCTGCAGTCAGTCAGTCAGCCTTCCGTCCACACTTTCGTTTTTCACGCCAGGACGGCGTCCCCACGTACACAACCGAGAGGTCCGTATCGAGGCAGCGAGGGATTAAAATATATATATTTTTTAAAACGGTTTCAAAACGCAACCATACAAGAATAACTCAATTAAAACCATCCCGGATCCCGGTTAATTAGCAGGCGGTTTTTTTCCGTTTTCGCTTCTCGTGCTGAGACATGTTGGCCCGAAGCGCCCCCCCCTCACCTCCCAGTCCACACCGTTACACAGCGCAGGCAGCGTCCGGGAGCTATAGGTGCCAGTCAGCCCGGAGACTAGAATAAGAAGCCAGAAAAGGCACCGGCGTCACCGACGCCCAGGGAGGCAGCCCGAAGCCCGGCGTCCGGCTGGAAAGCGGAGCTCATTTTGTCCACAAACCGAGCGCGCAGTCTGCCTGTCTGTAATCCGTGCCGACGCCGTTGTCAGAGGTGTGCGGTGTATAGTTACAGACGGGTGAAGCGCTCGCTGCAATGCCATGGTCATTATATTCCCTTTCTCCCCTGCCCTCTCTCTCTCTCCCTTTCTCTTTCTCATCTGGAAGGCTGTGAATAAGGAATGCGAGCCGTATGCTGCCGGAGGCGGAGTTACGGAATTCCGCTACCTCCTCCCCTCCTCCCTCTCGCACTCTCTCTCTCTCACCCTTCCTCATTTTTGGGAGGGGGGCTGGATCGCTCCCTCGCCCTCTCAGACGCCCACGGTGCCTGGAGGCAGTGGGCAACGCCGTGGAGGAAGCCTGACTGACCCGGGGCGGCCGAGGCAGGAAACACAGAGCAAGGATGCGAGAGCACTGGAAAACACGAGAGCTGACTCCAGTGCACAGCAACATGCGTGCTGAGTGTATAATTCTCCTTGCACAGTACACGGACGGGCGTACAGTAAGTCGCAGGGATATCCAATACTGGAAACTCCACAAAGGTAGCACCCCAGGTCCAGAGCTGCAGAGAGAGGCAGAGCCCACCACTGAGCCACCTGAGACAAACCCAGTTTCCCTTCTGTTGAAGGAGAGCTAGGCATACTTACCAGTTAAACCAGTTGAATGCTGGATGTTAACAGGTGTACATGATCATCCCACCTTGTTTTTTATTTTTATCATAGCAGCCATTTAAGAGCTTAATTAACTCAGTTAACAGATTCCCTTTTACATTTATTCGTAACCCAGCGACCTACTGTATTTAGACCACAGAGCATTTATTGGAGCAATCTGAGACAGGTACCCCACTTCCCAGCTCAGATTTGAACTCACGAGCTTTGTGTTCGGGAATCCCAACAGCTTCTCTGGACTGCTGCCACATATAGTGCTTTTACTCCCAAAGGAAAAAAGGGCAAAATAGCCAGCGTCCACATCACCCTGCAACTACAACTGGCAGCCCACTGCAGCCCAGCAGGTGTGAGCCTGGTCAGTACCCGGATGGGAGACTCCTGGGAAAGCTGAGGTTGCTGCTGGAAGAGGTGTTAGCGGGACCAGTAGGGGGCGCTCACCCTGCGGTCTGTGTGGATCCTAATGCACCAGCCTAGTGATGGGGACACTAGACTGCAAAAAGGTGTCGTCCTTTGGATGAGACAGGGGCCTCAGATTTGGTTCTCTGTGGACATTAAAAATCCCAGGGTGTTTCTTGAAAAGATTAGGGGTGTTACCCCAGTGTCTTGGCCTTTACCAATCATGGCCTCCTGATAATCTGTAAACTTCTTCACTCTGTTCTCCTCCCCACTGAGAGCTGGTGTGTGGGGAGTGCACTGGCGCACTATGGCTGCCGTTGCATCATCCAGGTGGGGCTGAACATTGGAGGTGGTGGAGGGGAGTGTCCAGAAAAGTGCTACATTCTGTAAGTGTAAGCAATTATTATTAATTAAGAATTAATTGGGATTCCTCAGTACTTTGTAATGCAGGAGGGAACCCTCCTAAACTACCACAGATAAACATAGGCGTTCTCTGGTCTGGGAGCTTTCCTATGTTCTTTGAGCACTGAAGCGCAGCACCCAGCCTGAAACTGCCAGCATCCCCCAGATAGATCAGAACACTCACGGGCAGGTGAATCACCGACTTTAAGGACAAGAGACAGATTTCCGTCGTCCTCCAGGGCCAGGGTATTTCCATTTCCCCCATGATCCCGCCAGCAGGAAGGAATGGGACTGGGACTGGGCTGCGAACGCTTAATGCTTAGGTGGATGCTGCACATTGGTGGTG